TTTTTTAGTTTGGGGAGGGGGCGGGGTGAGGGAAGTCGTGCACGTCCCTGATGGTAGCAACCCTCCTCTTGCACGAGCACAGAATGTCTAGCCGGCCGTGAACACCCCCACCAGCACCCCCCCTCCCCGTGCATGCGCGGTGCGGGCTGGGGGGAAGGCGCGCCGCCGGCTTGCGCAGGCACGGAACCCTATCGGGCCTCTAGTGGGCGAGCTGGGAAAGAGTTAATCCGGGACCTTGCCGATGCTTTCGTTGGAGGCTGAGGGGCCGTCCCCGAAGAGTCTTGGCCTGCGCACGCGCGCGCACGCGCGTCACTTGGTGCGCGCGGAGCCCGCGCGCGGGAGATAGAGTGGGCGGGGTGGGGCGGGACTTAAGAAGGGGACGAGCGGATGCCGGCGCGCGGTCTCGGGCACCCGCTCCCCTCTGAGCGCCCGCCTCCCCTTCTCCACCCTGATCTGTTTTCGGCGCAGAGGGCTCGGTGTGCAGACTCGTTCGAGGATCTGCCTTGAACCGTGGACGCGGGCTCCCGCGCTCCCGCGCGTGTGCATGTACGTGGATCTCGGCCGGGCGCGCGCAGGCCGGACTTGGCGGCGGCGTGGCTGGGCCGTCACTTATCAGGCAGGCGCGTCCTGCACCAGCACTCTGTGCACAGGGACCGGCTCCCAGGCGCGCGCTCCAGGCCGCTGCTTGGGCCCGTGTGGCTGTTGCAATACTATATCCAGGCGCCCTGTAAACGTTTGCGGAATAATGAAAAGGTGGTATTTCCTATTCGGCGTGCAAGGACCGACCCTGGCCCGCCACAGCAGTCCCGGTATTACTCAGAGGCTTAGGGAAATGCCAAGGAGGCTGGTGACTGTTGCCCCCTCTGGCAATCAAAAGCCTGAATACTTTTCTCATCTGAAGTTCCTGCGGCGGGGGTGTTTGATAACCCGATACTGTTCTGTATCCCTCCCAGCAAAACCAGTAACTCCAGTGCAGTTGAAAATGCATTGCCTCTTTACAGTCTGTGCATGACTTCTGGACCTGGGAAGTCCCCCCTTCGTTTTTTTCTGCTCACCTGAAAACAGGAAACTGTTCTGCAGGACCACAGCTCTTAGAGACACTGGGTGCACGAGACTGGCTGTAATAGCATTTAGCAAACACTCTAATTGCTGAAAGTTAGAGCAGGGTCTTCTCAGTATGTGGAGATTAAGTGACATGCAGCTTTTAACCCTTTCAATACCTGATTATTTTATTCTTCCTCCCGCCTCCCCCACCCAAACCTTTTCCGTAATAGAAGATATTTTTAATGAAATGATGGCGAAATAAGACGTCTTTGGTGCTAGCGTTGGAATGAGCTCCCTTTCTTCAGATTCATATCATGAAAGAAACTCCCACTAGAAGGCAATGTGTTCAAGAATTGGAATAGAACCATCCCACTGAGTCTCTAAGAAGGAAAATGTAAGGGATGTTATATAGCTCAGAGGTCATGAAAGGGTTAAAATTGTTTTCCCAATGCCAGATACATAATAAACATGTACACCATACTGATGTAACTAGATTAATTTTCTAAATAAAGTTCTGTACCACTTCTCAGTTGATTTTGTTATATTGACATTTAATATTTCACAAAGTCCTTTTACATGCATCTCTTTTCCCCCTTTTAATTGTAAATGTGTAAAATTACTGCTTATGTGGTAAGTTTCAATCACTCTGTTGTTGCTGTGTACCATCAAGTTGGAACCTACCTTACTAGGGCATGGAGGTTGCACATCTTTCCCCAGGGAGCAGCTGCTGGTGGAGTTAAACCACATGCCTTCAGGATTGTAGCGCAGCCTCTTACCACTAGGCCACCACTCTAGGTATGCAAAAAATTCATTGGCATTAATTACATTAACGAGTCAATCCATTTCTGATGCCCCCTACGTTGCCCTATATCAACCTATTTTCAAATATAAGCCTCATTGTTTCAAGTTACAACTTCAGAGACTATCAATTGCATGGGAGGAGTTTCCCCATTTTTCTATTAGGGCAGTTGGTGGATTCTAACTGCCCACCTTTGTGTTCAAAATGCAATTCCTTATCAGTAGGCTCTGGTGGTCTATACAAAGATTCAGTAACCTCTTAAGCAATGATTCCACATCTCCCCTTTCTTCCATCTCCTGGTAACTATGGATAGACATTTATACACAAATTGTTACGATGTTCACAGAAGCACAGAGGACCATTGTTGCTGTTAGGTCCTGTCGAGTTGATATCTGGTGACATCCTCAAAATCTCCATCTTAAACCAATTATTATGGTCACTGAGCCAATCAATTTCCTTGATAGTCTTTCCTCCTGATCGCATAAAATGTGTGAGATGAAGCTTCACCATCTTTGCCTCTGAGGAGCAGCCTAGTGACCCTTCCTCTAAGGTAGATTAGTTGGTTGGTTTCTTTTTTTTTTTTTTCTTTTGTCAGCCCTTAATATAATCAATTTGAAAGCAAGAGGGGCATCCACTTCCTAAATAATATGCCTCCGGAAACTGAACTGTGATAAATATCCACCGTGGTAGAGGGGATTCAGGCCTTTTGATCTTAGAGTTGCTATGAGTCACGCTCCACTTGAAGGCAATCAACAACAACAACAGTATAGTCAATACTTTCTGCCAACACCACAATTCAAAGACATTCATTCTTTCTGTTTATTGTTCAACTTTCTTAGGTATTTGAAACCATTGAAAATGCCATGGCTTGAATTTGGCATGCCTTAACTCTTTAAACTGACATTCTTAGCACATTCAAAAGGTCCTTGACAGCAGATTTTTTACAATACAACATGTCTTTTTTTAATTTTTTTTTCTCTTGCTGCTACTATCAGTGTTGATTGTAGATCCAAGTTAAATTAAATCCTTGGTAAGTTCAATCATTTTACCAGAATGTTGAGAGGTTTCCAGTCTTTCTTTAACCTACCTACCACCTTTCCTAGCATGATGTCTTTCTCTTAGGACTGGTTCCTTCTGAAAATAAACCCAAAGTAAAGGTGACTAAGTTTCACCCCATCTTGCCTCTAAGAAGTGCTCTGGTTGTATTTGTTTAAGATGGATTTGTTTGTTCTTTTCACAGCTCATGGGATATTCCATACTCGCCACAATTCAAAGGCACCATTTCTTTTTTACTCACCACAATTCAAAGGCACCAATTCTTTTTTGCTTTTCCTTATTCACTGTCCAACTTTCAGAGGATTAGGAGGCTGTTGTTAGGTATTGCAGAGTCAGAACCAACTCCGAACTGACTCCAGCAGATTTTCAGAGGCAATAAATTACATGGGAGGAGATTGCCTATCTTTTTCCCATGGAACAACAGGTGGATTAGAACCTCATACCTTTAGATTGGTAACACAACTCCTTACCATTAGGTCAAGAGAGCATGTTGTTACGTGCCATCAAGTCTGTGCCTGTGATTCATAGTGACCCAACACTATCTACATTAGCTCTGAAAGCTGCCCTCTTCTAAGCCAATACCATCATCTGCCACAGACCTAATCCACGACTGAGTCAATCCATCTCATCTGGGGTCTTTCTCTCCACCCTTCCAAGAATGATGTCCTTCTCCAAAGACTGGTCCCTCTTGGCAATGTGCCCAAAGTATGTGAGTGAGATCAAGCCTCAACAGGACAGGCCTATTTATTCTCCTGGCAATCCACGGTATGTTCAACACTCTTCTCCAGTACCAAAATTCAAAGGCTTTGATCCTTCTTCTATCATGCATAGCAAGTAATTGTGAAGACCATGGTCTGATTCAGATGCACCTTAGTCTATAGACTGACATCATTGCACCTCAGTACTCTAGAGAAGTCCCTAACAGCAGACTTTCCCAATGCAATTTATCTTTTGATTTCCTGACTGCTGGAGTGTTGATGTGGGACCAAGCAAGGTGAATTTATCAACAATCTTCCATCTCTTCTCCATCCATCATGAAGCTGCTAAATTGGTCTAATAGTCAGAGTCTTTATTTTCTTGATATTGAGCTTCAGTCCATACTATATAGTCCTTTACCTTCTGCAGCAAACGTCTCATGTCTGTTTCAATTTCAGCAAGCAAGTTTGTGTCATCTGCATAACACAAATTTTTTATATGTCTTCCTCCAATCCTGATGCCACATTCTTCTTCATAAAGTCCAGCCACCCAAATAATCTGTTCTGCATATAGATTGAAAAGATATGGAGACAGCATGGCTCACTGACACACACTTTTCCTGATCCTGAACTATACAGTGTTTGTCTACTCTGTTCTGAATACTGCTTCCAGATCCAAGTATGGGTTTCACATGAGCACAATTAAGTATTCTGGGATCTACATTCTTCTCAAGGTTAGCTACAATTTATTGTGATGCACACAGTCAGATGGCTTTGCATAGTCAATGAAATATAGAACTTCCTTTGGTACTCTACTTTCAGCCAAGATCCGTCTAATGTTGGCTACGATGTTCTTATTCCCATGGCCTCTTTTAAACTCAGCCTGTACATCTGGCAGTTCTCTGCTGATATAATGTTCAATCTGTATAATTTTCAGCAAAATCTTGCTTGCATGTGATATTAGAGATATTGTTCGATAATTTCCCCACTCTATTGGGTCACCTTTCTTTAGAATGGAAACAAATACAGATCTCTTTCAGTCAGTTGGCCAGGTAGTTGTCCTCCAGATTTCTTCTCACAACACGGTGAATGTGTCTAGGGCAGTATCTGTTTGTTGAAATATGTCAATTGGTATTCCATCAAATCTTGGGCCTTGGTTTTTGCCAAGTCCTTCAAAGCAGCTTGAACTTTGTCTTTAATCACCATAGGCTTTTGATTATATGCTGTTTCATGAAATTCTTCTGTGTCAGCCAATTCTTTTTAGTATAGTGACTCTGTGTACTCCTTTCATATTCTTTTGATGCTTCCTGGGTCATTCAATATTCTGCCTTCAGCCTTCTTAAATACTGAAATGCCAAGCAAATTTGTCTCTTTTGAGATAGTTCAGCCCTTTTGATTTTCCTACTGCAGCTCCTGGCACATTTCATTATAATACTTTGCTTTGTCTTGTGCTGCCTTTTGAAATCTTTTGTTCAGCTCCTTAACTTCTTTGATTCCTTCCCTTTGGTGTGTCTACATCTAGTGCAATATTCAGAGTCTCTTCTGAATACATCTTGGTCTTCTTCCTCTGTTTTTGTAAAGATCTCTTTTTTTCCCCATTCTTCATGAATGATATTTTTTTTTAATTTTTAAAAATGAATTTTAATGGAAGGTTACAGAAACTTAGGGTTTCCAGTCATTCATTGTTGCAGTTTTCTCTCTGTCCACCCCCTTCCCCCAGTTCACTCTTTTCCTTAAAAAGTAAAAGAAAAACCTCTTTCATTGTTATGAAGTCCCTCGCCCCAGGTCTACTCCACAGTGCAGCCTTCATTCCGGACATGAACGATATTCTTGATATCCTCCCACAGCTCATCTGGTCTTTGCTCATTAGTGTTCAAGGCATCAAACCTATTCCTGAGATGATTTTTCAATTCTAGTAGGATAGACTTGAGTTCAAACTTTGGTTCTTGTGGATTTGAGTTAGTTAGCTTCAGTTTGTACTTGCATGAGTAGTTTATGATCTGCTCTATGGTCTGGCCTAGTTTTCATAGCTCATAACAAGCTTCTCTAGTGGTTTATTCTGCAGATGTAGTCAATCTGATCTGGAAGCCCGAGTGGCATCCACTGCCGAAATGGCTTGCCTCCGGAAACTATGTATGAACAGTGCTCAGGCCTTTCATTCATAGGGTCGCTATGAGTCCTCTATGACTCGACGGCACCTAGCAATAACAACAACGACATAGAAAGAGCTATGTTGGCCAAGTGGAAAGAAAGTTATGCTACCAAGCCGAAGGTGGGTGATTTTAATCTGCGGCACTCAGGCCAGGTTCAAATTGTTTTCCTTTCAAACATTCTTCTAGGTGGTATAGCACTGGTCTGTGCATAGCTGTACAGGGTAACTCGTGGTTGCTGTGATGCTAAACACTGGGACACTGATGTGCCAGACATGGTAATGGTTACCCATGGTGGACAGTGTTTGCTGGAGCTTCCTGACTGAAACAAGCCTGGAAGCAGGAGTGGTATCCACTTCCGAAATGGCTTGCCTCTGGAAACTCTGTGTATGAACAGTGCTCAGGCCTTTTGTTCAAAGGATTGCTATGAGTCGTCTACAACTCAACGGCACCTAACAACAGTTAATCTGATGCCTCTGTAGACCCTCAGGTGAAATCCATGTGTATAATCGCCACTTATGCTTCTTATAGAAGGAGTTTGCTATGAATAGGTCATCGTACAGAGTTCTATCAGTCTGTCTCCTGCCTCATTTCTTTCACCAGTCCATGCTTTCCAAATAATCATAGGGAACAATGTAAAACACCAAGGTTTATTTAGAGACATTTTAGTCTTTAAGTGGACATCCTTGCTTTTTAAAACTCTGGAGAGGATCTTGACAGCAGATTTTCCCATTGCAACATGTTTTTTTTTATTTCTTGTTGCTCCCTTGGGTGTTAATTGTGGATCCAAGTAAAACGGAATAATTGCAAACAGAATCTGGTAGATCAACAGTGCGCTGTTGGTTTAGTTCCCAGTGGCTTACGTGCTAATTAGGGTGAGAACCACAGATGTGCAGCTCAAAGAAGATCATAAACAAGCCTCACAGAATTGTTTGCTGGCTTCCTCTCTGTTATTTACCTCTTACGCTGTGGGTCCCTGGAGCATCGTTTTTTGGGTTTTTTTTTTA